GCGAGCATTGCTCATCCAAACATTGTTGCTATCAAAAGTTCATTTGAAGATGAGGCATCTATGTACTTTGTTATGGAGTTGTGCACTGGTAGCGAACCCTTCACTCACATCACTGAGAAGGGGCATTACAGTGTGAGGCAGCTGAAGCAGGGAATTACTGAGAAGGGGCATTACAGTATGAGGCAGTTGCAGCACGAAATTACTAAGAAAGGGGCATTACAGTGTGAGGCAACTGTAGCAGGGAATTATTGAGAAGGGACATTACAGTGTGGGGTATTATAGTTCACATCACCAAGAAGGGGCATTACAGTGTGAAGCAACTGCAGCGGGGAATTATTAAGAAGGGGCATTATAGTGTGGGGTATTACAGTTTACATTACTAAGAAGGGGCATTACAGTGTGAGGCAGCTACAACAGAGAATTACTAAGAAGGGGTATTACAATGTGAGGCAGCTGTAGCATGGAATTACTAAGAAGAGGCATTACAATGTGGGGCATTACAGTTCGCATCACTGAGAAAGAGCATTGCAATATGAGGCAGCTATAGTGGAGAATTACTAAGAAGGGACATTACAGTGTGAGGCAGCTGCAGCGAGGAATTATTGAGAAGGGGCATTACAGTGTGGGGCATTACAGTTTGCATCATTGAGAAGGGGCATTAGAATGTGAGGCAACTGTAGCGGGGAATTACTGAGAAGGGGCATTACAATGTAAGGCATTACAGTTCGCATCACTGAGAATGGACATTACAATGTGAGGCAGCTGCACTGGGGAATTACTGAGAAGAGGCATTACAGTGTGAGGTAGCTGCAACAGGGAATTACTGAGAAGGGGCATTACAGTGTGGGACATTACAGTTCACATCACTGAGAAGGGGCATTACAATGTGAGGCAGCTGCAGTGGGAAATTACTTAGAAGGGGCATTATAGTGTGGAGCATTACAGTTCGCATCATTGAGAAGGGGCATTACAGTGTGAGGCAGCTGCAGTGGAGAATTACTTAAAAGAGGCATTATAGTGTGGAGCATTACAGTTCGCATCACTGAGAAGGGGCATTATAGTGTGAGGCAGCTGCAGTGGAGAATTACTTAGAAGGGGCATTATAGTGTGGGGGGGCATTACAGTTCGCATCATTGAGGAGGGGCATTACAATGTGAGGCAGTTGTAGCGGGGAATTACTGAGAAGAGGCATTATAGTGTGGGGCATTACAGTTCTGTGACTAGTGTGAGGCATTATAGTGTGGGGCATTACAGTTATGTGACTAGAACCACCTAGAACCATCTTTATCGTGATAGAAACTTGCCACATTTTGGGTGTCAGACATCACGATTTGAAGCCTAAGAATTTCTTTTTGCTGAACGAGCAGGAGGATTCATCTCTGAAGGCAACAGACTTTGGGTTGTTGACGTTTTTCGAACCCGGTGAAGTGTGCAAAGATGTGGTAGGAAGTGCATTCTACGTTGTACCAGAGGTTTTGAGAAGGAAGTATGGACCCGAATCCGACATCAAGAGTGCAGGCGTGATCCTGCACATTTTTGCTCCTGGAAGTGTTGTTGTTCTAGTCAAACATTCTTTAGGTTCCAGCCCCCCCTGCTTCTTGCTTTTCTTCTTTGTCCAAACACCGATTGCGCCTAGTCTTTTCTACTGTCGACGATGCTCTCTTGCATGATTTGCAGTTTGTTTTTCAGTTTGCAGTGGATTGAGTCCGTCGCTGTTTTGTTTTTGGCATAGGTTGAAGACGTAGGTTCCTTGAGGATTACGGAGTTTTGCTTCTTAGGATTTGCGTGTGGTTTTATGTTTAAGAATCAGCATGTTGGTTGGCAGCAAATGCCTTAGGGTGAGATGACGTCAAATGAGATGATGTATAGAAATTGAGAATTCTAGCGGTTTGGTCTGCCGACTGATTGAGTCTATGTGTGATTGCCACAAGAAGAACTGCAATGTGAGTGTGGTGATGGTTCCGCAGGGGCATGGACAGAGAGCATCGATTGTTACTAGTGTATTGGATGACACTGGTACTTCTAGCCATGGAAATGTTTTAATAGCAGTGCAAGTATTTCCATGAATAGAGCACATACGGGACACAGTGCTCTTCTTCCGATTGCACTCAAACATGGTTGAGCATATGTGAGAAAGGGAGCCTTCCGAACAAAAAGTTCCAGGGAGCACTTATCATAACCGCACCTGGTGGCAAGTCCGCTGCAAAGACAAAGTCGTGGCTTCCTTTGTTTGATGGATACTGCGTTGTAGATGAGGATCAAACCAAGCAACTGTTCCTCGCTCGTATCAACGAAGCGGAAGCGCCACTTAAACAGAAGCGAGGGGCGTCGCAAGAAACCATCTTACTGTCGCTTTGTAAATCAAGACTAAAAACGGATCCTAAGAGGACGGGGGGTCACAATGAACGGGGGTCAGGATGAAGGTTGGGAACGGAGGGAACGCTGGCTGGGAACAAAGGGGTTGGATGAGGGCCATGATTCTAACGATGGTTTTTGGGAATGATGCATTTTTATAACGATGGTTACAACAGAGTGGGTCAATTCAGTAAAAGGGTAGGTCACTTTAATATTTCTCTAAAAATAAATTTACTTTTATTTATATACAATCCATTGATTTTAGTGAGTGCTAATTGATATTCACAAAAATCTATACAAAATACAACCCAAAATCTTAAAATGTACCAATGTTTTTATAATGAAATTGAAATTAGAAAAACGTTGAAATTTTTAATGAAAATAAATAATTGTGTATTCAAATATAACAGTAAAAAAAAGTTAATTTTCATGATTATGACAATAATGTAAAGATCATCAGAATAGTACCTTTATTAAACTATTTGTATTCAATAAACACAATATATATATATATATATATATATATATTCATTATGAATGAATTGTATGCTCTCAATTGAGGTTTGAATTAATCAATGACTTACTTTGGTAAACATCATTTACAATTTGTTTATTTCAATCCATAGTACAATACAAGTACTTAGAGAGTAAAAAATGAGAAGAAGAAATAAGAAATTTTACACAAATAAAATTCCATTTATTATATGAGGACATTGTGTGCATGTAAAATATGCGACATATAGAAAACATGACTCATATTTTGAAGAAAATAAGGCCTTCAAATCATAAGTTGGATGTAGTTGACATTATAATTTTTAAATTTTGATATCATGTTTTGAATTTTAAAAAACAAACAATTTTTTTTAACTTTAATTTAATATATGTGGATTATATGATTTTTTAAGTATCTTTCTATCTTATAAACATATATTTTCAATGCCTGCAAAATTTCAATATTAAAACTGGATCTAAATACCTTCAATAATTGTAGGATGAACTTTGAAAGAAATATTAAAGGCTTATAGAGATCAAATTTTCTTGACATAAAAATAATTAAAACTATATTACTAAAAAAATAAAAATCCAGATGACAATTATTTTCTTTATTTTTTGCTTTAAAAATCATGTGTGTATATGTATAATTTTTAATAACTTAAGACACATAGATCTTGAATAAAATTAATGTACAACATTAATCAAATAGTTTTATTAAAATAAGTAACTTTACTTTTTATGATTGAAGAAAACATGTATTTTTTCACCACTAAATAGAATATTTTTAATCTCTCTCTCTTTCTCTCTCTCTCTCTCTATAGATATATATATATATATATATATATATCAAGAGAGAGAGATACACTAATCACTTCTTTAATCTATGAAAGAAAGGAAGTAAGAAAGAAATAAACTAAGCTCAGTTATTTAAAATAAATGTATCTAAAACAAATCCCAACTTGCATTAAAACCTTTAAGTTTTAAATGGCCTCTTTTAAAAATCTGTTGTTTTAACATCATGGTATATATTTTTGGAATTGCAATATAATGTGGAATTTATTATTATAAATATATTAGTATTTTTTTCTATGCAATGAATACATCTCACTTTGAAATGATATTTTATATGTTAAAACATCAACATATTGAATTTGAAACAATTGAGCATTTCTATAGCTCGTGATTTGATACAAAATATTGTGTTAAAGAGGCGTTATATTTTGTGACTGTCTCAACCCTTAATTAATTAATTTTTTTATTTAAATAAAAAATATCCTGTGATTTTTAGATTATTTGATTTTTGATTTTTGTTTTTTTTTGTTTTTTTTTATCAATAAAGAAGGTCAATGATTTGGGCATACTTTGAATTATTTTATTTTGTATGTAGTTAGAACATTGACAAATCAAATAACTTTCCAAAATTTTGTTTTACAAAGGTTTGTATGATTGTATTGTGTTTTTAATTTATTTTAAAATGTTACAACAATCAAATAGATTACAAACATGCTACAAAATTTTCTACATTTAAATAAAGGTTTTTCAATAAAAAAAGTGACGATTATAAAATCATGAGATGCATGAAATTATATGCATGTAAACTTAAATACAATTTTGTTGTTGACACTCCACTTCTATACAATTTAATTAAAAAGATAAGTACAAACCCAAGTAAAGAACTAACAAAGAAAAAGAACACTCTAGAATTAAAAGAGAACTGAGACTTGAATTTTGTTAAAAAAGAAGCGGTCTATTTTCAAACAAGTGTTAAATTCTAGTTTTAGTTTTAATATTAACTATTTTAGGATTTAAGAAGAACTTTTTTCCATAAATTTTGTTGAATCTTCAAGTTCATTAGAAAAGAAAGAAAAAAGGAAGAAAGATTTAATATACACACATACATGGTAAAATTTAATTAGCTAATAGAAAAATCCAATTGAAGACACCATTGAAAAGTCCCATGCCAAATTAATGTACATCAATCAATCTAGGTGTTGAAAACGGGCCCCACTCACTTTACACGCAGACAATGAATGAACGTTCCACACGTTTCATCCAAGAGTTCGGAGCGTTGTTTTCAATGGAGTGCCCTGAAATCATCCATCCATCGAAACGGGAAGCCATGGCGGTAACCCGAAGGCGAAGAAGGGCTCTTGTTGTAACTGGGCTCTCGCGTCGCGTCGCGTCGGAGTCGTAGCGCCGAGAAATGCATCAAACGTGCGCACGCTTGAAGGGAATCCGAGCTTTCCCATCTACCTGCGGGAAGTCTCGTGGATTTCCTACTCAACGAGCCCCGCAGCTCCAGGAATGGTGCGGAGATGAGCGAGAGGTCTTGGTTTTTTTCTTACGGAGTGTGGGGTTTATGTGGTTTGCAAGGTTCACGAGGTCCATGAATCGCAAGGGCGCTTGAATTATTTTGTTGGCGGTTATGGGAGCTCCGGCTAGGTTACATGCTGTTGACGTGGTTAGTAGTGATGGTTTCTTGAAGGGCAAGAGCCGAGGAGAAGCGTTGTCGAGGTTTTGAGCGAGTGGTGAAATCTGGGAGAGATGGTGGCACTCGATGAAAGGCATCACACGTTTCTGCAGGCGCTCATGAGGCGAGGGCCCCTGCCTGAAGAAGAATCGAAGGGCATGTTCATGGAGCTGTTCGGCTGTTCGGACGGTTCGTTCTATTGATTATTGTTTTTGGAAAAAAAATGGAAGCGAGTGCTTGTTGAGTGTGAGGACAAGGCTGAGAAAGATCGCGCGGAACCTGAGACGGTAGTCGGGAGCAATTCCGGAGAAAGAAAATATGATCACATTGATACTTGTAGAATGCTCGGGGTTTTTGGTGACAACTTATATTTGAAAGAGCAGTTATAATTTTTGGTATGATGTGTAGGCTAAGTTCCCTGGTCTGTTCTTAGAAGAGATAAACACCTCGCCATAGGAAAAAGTTGGGAGAAAAATCATCCCGTAGCGTCCTTGACTTTGATTTCTGGCATTTTAGCCATGAGCACTTGTGGCAGCACTTGTAACATCTAGTTCATGGTTTTCTCTGGCATGGCTAATTTTTCTGTGTTCGAAGTTGACGCTGGTTGTTGTCAACTTGCAGACCAGTTCTTCGATTTCCTGAATACGGTGAACAAGGAGTTGGACTATGTCCAGATGGAGGTGAGAGGGAGTGCAAATCAGCACGACGGAATTGTGTACTATGGTATTGTGAACAAATTGGCCAGTGAGGAAGCGAAACTTGGTACTCGGCTTGTACACGCACAGCTCGCCTTCTTTAAAGCCATCGTAAGTGCTCACATTAGCAAGCGGGATGGCTAAGCTGTACCGTCTACCACATTGTATAGCTGCTTCCAAATGTCTCATTGGCTCTGCTTTTGTCGTGATTTTTCGCATGTATTTTCAGTTCATTCTCAAGAGATACGGGCTAAATCTTAACCATGGGATGCAGTTGGAGACTATACTGAGCGATCCATCTGCAAGTGGTTCCATATCCAGCATGCAAGCTCTCAACCTCCGCCTTGACACTCAGGTATTCGGATTGGCCCTTTCTTCGAGCATATCTGTTTCTTAGATGGTCTTTTATTTATTTTTATTGAAACTTTAAACCGTACTTTGAGATCCTCGACTTAGGGTTGAAGCTCAAAAGGGATCTATTATTTATCTTGTTGGTTACAACTTATCTCTCTTCACATTAAACCGTGTTTATCTCGCGCATTTTGCAAAACAGAATGAAGAACAGACACAAGCTGAAGCTAGCACCAGTCAAGCAGCTCCTCTGAAGCTCACTTTAGCGGCTAAGGAAGAAACTCTTGCGACTTTGGTATCAGACAAGTGGTTGAGTCGGACAGAGGATGGAAGGGTTTGTTTGGGCATAAAGTCCTTCCTTGAGCTTCGAAGCCTGTTCAAGAATTTTGATGTGCCCTTTTGTGATGTGTGCAATGAGGCTGCTATTAAGGTTTTCGTCTATTTTCCCTTCCTGGACCTTTGCCTTACCTTCTTAGTGGATAGGTTGTTCTATTGGTCGCTAAATGATGTAATCCTTGGTTCCACTTGGTACTAAGTCTGAAGTGGTTGTGTGTGCTTTACCTCTTTCAGGCGCAGCCTTGCCAAAATCTAGATTGTAATGTTCGCATGCACTCGTATTGTGCACCAAGAAAGTTCAGTCGGCGTCAGGTGCGTTGACAATAAGTTAATTTCTTTCACTTCATGTTTTGACTGTGATAAAAAGAAGTGTTCTGGATTAATTTTGTAATGCTTTTAGTCTACCTTCTTTTATATTCCGTGTTAAAGACAAAACTTCTTCAAACACATTCTTCGAGCCCCTTATGAGACGTTTTTTACATTCTAAATGTGTTTTGATGAAACAAGGGCAGTGTGTGTTCTCCGAACTTTGAGATGTTGATATCCTCAGTTGGATCAAAGTTCTTCTCAACTCATCAGCGTTTTATTTCCAGGTTCCTAGGATGTGTCCTGGTTGTAGCACCGCTTGGAGAATGCCCACAAGTGATGACGACGAGCCGAATAACTCCGAGGAGGGTATCCATGGGGAGGAAGAGGATGGAGAGGATGAATTCGCAGTTCCAGCGCCTACATCTGGAATTTCTTCCAGACTGAGAAGACCCAGCCAGAAGCGTTCAAAAGCAAAACTGGAGAGTTCTGATGATGAAAACGATAACGGCCATGATGATGACGAATCTGGTGGGATTCCAACAGATCGGTCGCCACCCGAGTCACAGGGGAGGAGGGTGATCCATTGTCGTCCGAAAATGAGAGCCAGGCGATAGATTTAACAAGGATTTGGATTCTTCCTTTCTTTCTTTCTTTATTATTTTTTTCTTCATTTTTTTTTTTTTTTTTTTTTTTTTTTTTTTTCCCTCCCAAGGGCGACCAGTCATCTAAGGGTATGTATGCTTAAATTCTTGCTGAAACTAAAGACACTTGAAACCGCATATCTCCAGTAGAAGTTATCGTTATGCATGTACATCAATCAATCAGATGTGTTATCCAGTTGTAGCTTTTACAGTTTCGGTTATAGTTTTCATGTCTATCGATAGGTGTTTCAAGCATGTGAAAGGTTGATGAATGATTATACAGTGGGTCAAAATGTGTGGCTAGGAGCTTTCATCTTCATGGCGGAGCCTCTTGTTTCTCTCAAAGAACAAGCCCATGCCGATTTGGGGGGTGGGCAATTCATTCAACTCTGGTGTAGATCCAGATTGGTTGCTTTGCACTCATTCAGGACCAGTTTGGTATGTACAAAACTCGGCAAATTGGTTTAGTAGTGGCATGGTGAGTTTAATTCTACAGGCTCACTTCTGGCTCTTGACAAGCTATATCAGCCATATATATATATATATATATATATATATATATAATTAATAAGAAAAAATGTTTCTCAAGAAAGAAATGTACAAGAAGCCCATTGAGTAGCTGTGCCTGCGTGACCTTGAAGCTACTGTGAGAATAAAACCTGAATGCGGATCATCGAGGAAGACCAAGCTTTACCCTAAGGCCGAAGCTTTCCTCAGCACTTCACTGCACTCAAATATTTCATCAGAAAGTCCAGATACCCATGCATCTGGCCTAATCTTTACATCATTCATTCAAGAGTTTGCAGGGGGCATCCAATTCGGGTAACCATAGCCAGGAGGCGGCCCTGCAAAGCGGCCAGGAGTCCCAGGCCCCCAGGTGCTGTAATCCATCCCCTGCTCATTCAACTTGGGCCGCTTGTGATGAGGGCCTGGAGGTCCTGGAGGTCCTGGAGGAGGAAGGTGGCCCATGGGTGGGCTATAATCTGAATGGAAATGTGGTCGAAGTGGTCTATTTTGACCGAATTGTTCTTGGCTATTCCCATTCATGGACCTGTGACCTCCCTGTCCATAACCCTCAGGAGGTCTAATAGAACCATTAGGGTGCCTCAACTGATGACCATTCTCATACAGCATGCCAGAGTGGAAACTCCTTGGAGCCTCAAACCGAGAAGGAAAGCTGTTTCCCTCTTGCTGGGGAAGATAAGCCGGAGGAAAGCTTGGGGGAGGGTAAGGAGGTGGAGGAGGCAGTTGCTGGATCGGTTGCTGCTGCTCCTGCTTGTGTGATTTCTTCGGGGGTGGAAGGGAGGGGGGAGGAGGAGGAGGATGAGGAGGGGGGCCGCCCTTGTCGCCCTCTCTTTCCTTCCTTCGTCCTGAATGATTCGAGGAGCCTCCATCTAACCGTCTCTCTCTGAGTGACTCCCCTTCATGGGTGTTTCTCTCATTCTCGCCTTGCCCTTGAGGAGCATGCATCTCCCACTCCCTGTATCTGGGCAGCAGCTTTTGATCGTTCCCCTGGGTTTTACCGTCTTTAGATGAGTTCGTGCGCTGGTCGCCGGCGCGGTGGTGTGGGAACTCCTCCGGCAGCCGAAGCTCAGGGACTGGCCGCGCGAGTAGACCCAGAGGGTCTTGCCGAACACTTTTCGGTGGCTTACGCTGGGGTTCTTTTCGTGGGAGAAGCACCTGCAGGGTGCCAGAGGGTTGCCGTACAGGGGGGGCAACATCAGCATGTTGTGACTGAACCTGCATGTACAAATAACATTCTTAGCAACCTGTGCAAGAAAGAGTATTGCTGAAACCCAGACTTCTATCAAAAGACTGTCATTCAAATACACTGTTCTGAAAATAAATACTGTCCACGGTAACAATCCAAAGGAAGTACTCGTGACAAATAACTAATCTGTTGCACGAACGAAAATTGGGAAGACTCAGTTAAATGGAAACATCGAACGCACGGTTACCTGAGTTTCAGATAATGAGTTTGCAGCAGAGGGATTTCTTTCTGGTGATAATCTTCCCTGCTCCAGTTGCAAGAGCTGGGAATGGGCATCAGAGATGTGCAAGTCAAAATCGGGTCTTGCAAGGAAAGAGCGCAGACAACCTGGGGCACCACAGATATAGATACCTTCTAGGACGTCCATCTTTTGAATACGTGTAACCCTTTCTTCACACCTGCAAGCAAAACCAAGGCCAAGTTCGCATTTGAGAGTGGTTATCATGTTTGTCAACACAACTTACAACACGCAAATTCGAAGTGAGATATCCAGACCCAAAATACGCGGATTATCTAACGGACTAAAGTTACCAGTGTGTAAACAACATAATGACCAAATTATAATCATGTCCATCACGTTCTTGAAATAAGTGTTAGCATTTACCCCGTTGAAATTAGAATCAACAAGTACTACTAAAAAGCACCAAACTCACAGGAAGCAAGTTGGATAAAGTTTGGCGCACGTCAAGCAGAACGCATGTTCGCACGGTATCTGTAGCCATTCACAGCAAAATGTGCTTCAGTTCGCATCATTCTAGTCCCATTTGAATGGGAGTTCAAATGACGAAAAGAAAATCAGCAAGAAAACAAGTAGGTATTAACATAAGCATCCAAAAATTCTAATTCTCAGAAAATAAGTCTGATGTTGTCCAATGCCATCCACATAAAACGACAAGAGACAGCAGACTTAGAAAAGAGCTTCATAACCTACTCCGTAAAGGCGTTGCTAAAGTCAGTTAACGTTAGAGAAAGCAAGATGGACTCGCAAAAATCCAGTTACAGGATGAAGGAAAATAAAAGTCATTCGAAGCATGAAGTCATACCAGCCGGCCGTAAACAGCAATCGGGAAATCGCACCGCACACAAATGTGAACTTTGTCCCCAGGTTTGCGAAGAGCTTTCACTCCCACGAAGTTCATTGCGCAAGGCTCCGAAAAGACGGTTCCCACCCCTTTCAAATGCGGTAAGTCTGTGCCCATCAAATGAGGCGGAACAGATGGACCCTTGGGGATTGTACCGCCGGCTTGCTCCTGCTTCCCGCCTGGTATGGCTCCGGCTCCAGCCCCGGTCTTGCCGAGGCGTATAGTTAAATTCACCATTGCACTATATCACTCACTGGCATCTCTCGCACTAAAAATTCGTTCCTACTACCATGCAGCGCAACTCCACTACCCAATCTTAAAACCCTCCTCTCTCTCCATACTTAGGGTTACTACTCCAAAACTCCACAAGAAGTCCCTGACGATCCCGGAGGCATCAACCCGGCATGTTTTCTGAAGCCACAAAACAGTGGAATAGGTCTCCACGAAGGCAAACCTCATGGGCAGCGATGACACTCACATGATCAAATTCCTAACCACACAAAGCCACAAAACCCTGGCTCCTCTACATTAATCTCCCCATTAGGCTCCTCTCACAAACCTCTCAACCGCGTTAATACCAGGGCAACTCTTTCATCACACATCCTGTCCATCCCCTATCTACACGCTCCGCCACAATGCCGAACTCTAACCCGCTCAAGGTACGCCAACAGCCACAGCTTCCATTTTCGAGAGGTCTTACACCACCATAAATGAGACTGAAAGAAATTCTCCGGAAACCAATAGCATCAAGTTTTGCACCTAATCAGACAGCTAGGAACTCAACAACTGAGCGCTTGTCACTCGCATTCCGCCTCCAACAACGCCACGAAGAGCTCAAATTTGCCGTACAACTCGTCTCACTTCACAATATTCATTAAAAATCGCAAGCCAGGAACAGTGAAATGTAAGTCTGTTTATAACACGTCGTGGTCCGTTGGCCATCTCATCATTCTGCCCCCTTCTTTCGAAGTCGCACGCACAATCACAACAACAGCGAAATTGGGTTGCGACATTGAACGTGCTCAATCAGAAGCGGGGCAATAGAAGTCGTCGTCGTCGTAGTAGCAATGCTTTCGGAGGGAACCGGCCATAGCCAGTAGCCCCGTCGTCAAGGCGAAACGAGGCAACGCCGTCAGTTACTAGTAACTAGTAAGTAGTGCTTCATTGTCTTCGTCGCCTCCGAGTACGTTCGTAGTACGCTTCCAATACAACTACGACTACTACGAATACTTACGATGATGTGCATACAGATCCGACACGGTGGCGATGCTGGGTTGCGCCGAGGTATTTCCGCGGTTATCATCTGCCGCGTCGCGAGACGGGTATAGAGACTTCGCGGATATCAATAGGGCATGACTAGGTGTTCTGGGATTGATGCTGGCTTTCGTGTTTTTTTGTTTGTATTCAATATGATCAATATAGTTGAATTGGCAGCTTTTTATTTGATTCGATTTTATTGGGGATTCCTGGAAACTGACGTAAAGTACTTTGTTTGATATTTTTATGGAATAAAGAACATTTTTTGTATTAGGAATGAGGAGTTAAGTGAAAGATGTAAGTAAAGATTCTAATTGGTCAATTTGTGTTTTGTGTTAAGCAATTGGAATGTTAATTAGGATTTTATTGGAGGTGCATTGTAAAGAAGGTCTTAAGTAGAGTACACATGGAATTCTCAAGAAATGTCTGGTAATCAAAAGATTGAGTGAAGTTGTATGATCTATTTTAGAGATTAATGGCACAATTTTTTGTTATTTTGGATTTATATAAATATATATAGGGGAATAATAAAGCAACCCAATTTTTTACTAAAGCAATCCACCTATCATCACAATCATGAAAAAATAATTACCTCAAGATTCATTTTTCTACTATTAGATCTACAATCAATGAAAAGAAAGCACATTCATCTTCAATCATGATAATCTAATCTTCATTGCTGCCGTCCACAATTATTAGCTGCAATAGTCTTTAATTATAGAATCCTAATTATTTGTTTAAAAGAAGGAGGGACCTACAACAAGTTTATCTCATTGCTTCGTGCCCTGTTGGAATGAGGGCTGAATTGGCCTTTCTTTTCTTGCTTCCCTGCCACTTTTTTCTCTTTGCATGGCTTCACTGCCACCCTACTCTCTCTGTATGGCTTCCTTGCCACCTTCATATTTCAATATAAGATCTCGAAACTATGTTGCAAAAACTTTTGCAATGATTGTTGCAAAGACCAGCTTTTAGAAGCCTCCTGCTGTTTGTACGGGGTCAATGAAAGCTTGAAGCTTGCCAATTGCTATCGAAACCAATTTGAAGATTTAATGTACGATTGATGCTATGCTTCATAGATCAGTAGTAGCTATTGTTTTACAACATAGTATTGATTACTGAGCTTCCCTCCCAAGTCTGAAATAGTAATTTTTTTTTAGAGATTGACTGAGTAGTGGTTGTTGCAACTGTGATCAACATCTTTTCTTCTCCTAAAATTGAAAATTTTGTGAGTGTGGATTGACAACATGGAATCAATGTCGCAGCAATTGTACGCTCTCTCATTAAGGTACAGTATGTGATGACTGGATGTATCTAGTACTTTGACATAGAAAAAGTAAGGAAATGGTAATGACATTAGAGAAGTTAAAGTTTTCAAAATTGGAGACCTTGTGAATGGCATTCATATTATTACACAAGCACGCCATTTATTCATAGAAGTGAGATATATGGAATATAAAAAAACTTGATGCTATACGTGTTGATTACAAATAAGCAACTTGAGAGGAAGAATTTAGATATGGAGTAATGCTTTCTATGACAATAATAAAGAGGAACCTTGATATTGTATCTTGATTACATGCTTAGCTTTTTTCTACATTGTATCTATTGAACTGTAGCCTTTGTTGTATGCTACAAGGTATGAAAACAATATCTAGATGTCTGAGTTTTGTAGTGAATTTGTCGCATCAAATTGCTGCAAATCTGTTTCTTTAATAATTGTATTTATTCCTTGAGGTGAATAGAAGAAAAAATACTATCTTTTCATTTGGATGTCATACCAAAGAATGATCTCAGTCAAATAATCACCTCCCAAAACAAATGTTGAGATAGAACCAACGCCTTAAAACTGCTACTCTCCACTTGATTTTTGCTTTCAATGTTGTTAATCCTACTAAGAGACAGTTTTCAAACCTAATTGGTTGTCACATAAACTAGAGAATATTGGTGTGTCATTGTGTGGACTTTGCACATTGTTGTTGCTAGATCTTTTGTCTAAATTATACTAACATTGACTTATTAGACATAAGTTTAGAACTTATCAAACAACAATCTTTGTATCTAAAATGTCACAAACTTCCATTAAAGTCTTTGTTTTGTTAGTTGTTAGATTCTTGTAAAAGAATATAGTTGTCACTCAAGAATTGTAGCTTATGACTTTGATGGATGTATCAACTATGAAAGCCCAAACCATGTCCGATCATGATATGATTATTATTGTTTACTTCTGCAAATCTGGCTAGTATCTTGGACAAAGTTTGTTGTTGCTGTTTCTTGATTCTTACTTTGTTAAAGAAAGCTAATAAAAATATGAACTTATTACCTTTGTCAATTTAGAATATTCCATCTAAATTTAATTCCTCTAACCAACTTGCTTTATAAAAATTGTTACTTGTAATGGTGACTCAATCATATTGAAAAAAAATATCTTTAATTGCACTTGCATCCCTGAATGAAATCATGCATAGGATCAATGGACAGACCCTTCGTTTTAAAGTATCACCAACTTTACTACTACAATCCTTCAAATTCATAATGAAGTCGCTTGTTGAAATATTATTTTCATCGTTACAATCTAAAATCAAGTCTTTTGAGTGTTTAAGAAGGTTCTGAAGGTGGATTTTTAATTCACTTTTGTAAGCTTGTTTATTTGGACTAATTTGATAATAAAGACAAAAAAAAAATAAAAAATAAAAATTGAAGCTATTATTGTAAGAATTGAAGTTGGTTTTTTGTAGAAGATTAGGAAGGTGATGTCATTGTTTATAGTATTTGAGCCATGACTATAAGAGATCTTTTTGGATGGCAATATAACCAAAGGACAGTAAGAGGTTGCATTTTATTTTTATTTATTTTTATTTTTTTTGCTGCTTTTTATGAGCTTTTATTCACACAAATGTGTAAAAGGGCTTTTCTCATCAATATTTTGCAACATGTTTGGTAGGTAGAGTACCTATTCACTTATTCAAAAATAATTCGTGCCAATTCTATAATTTTTTTTATTGTTGGTTGTCTTGATTTTCTTGTCTATTTTGCAACTTCTCCATGAAAGATGTTTTGAATCAATCACACCTGATTTTTTAATTTATTATTATATTTTATGATCTAGTGGCTTTCAAAAATCCTTCTTCTAAGATTGTCTTTGTAGCATGTAACTTGATAGATGTTGTTTCTAAATTTCTCACATTATGAAGCAACAATTGAGAGTGCTCTTTGATTCAACAGATTAAGAATCTACAACATTAATGTCTTTGGCATTGAAGATTTTGAGCAATCCATTTTTGCAGTTAACTTCTATAATATGAAATTAATTGATAATTAATATCACTTGAAGTAATAACCATCTAAAATATTTTAAATAACTATATATAATAATTTTTTAAAACAATTTTATAAGCATATTATTGAATTCTACTTTATTTGTACATTATTTATAAACGATTGCAAGGAAAAATTTGTCTTTGTAGGACATTTGCAAATATTATGTCCCATTGACTGGCAATTGTTGCAAAATTATTTTTTTGATCTTGCTTCTATAGACTTGAATTGTGATGCAAATCGTTGCTGTGTCATAACACCATTATATAGTAAAAAATAAAAATATGGATGTTATTATAGAAGAGCATAGTAGAAAGATGTAATAGAAAAATAAGGATAAATGATAGAAAGATAGTAAAAGATTTAGTCTTAATACTACATTTTATAGAAGGGACTTCTATTTACTTTGTAGAGGTATAAATGAGCCAAATCAAAACAAATTAGATAAGAAATTAATATAAGCATATTTAAGAAAAAATTAATAATAGGTTAAAGCAAAAATTACTTCAAATTACTAAAAATTGATATCCAAAGAAGATCGGTTGTCAACCAAGGTTGAAATCAAATTCCAAAGCACAAAACCATGCTCATATGATGACTCTAAGGTTCTTTTATAGATAAAAGAGTAAGGTTTGAAAACAAACTAAAAGAAAGATTTTAAGCATTGATTTCTTGTCATTTGAATCAATATTAAAATTTTGAGGGATTTTTAAAGTTAGTAATGTTTTTGATAGGATGAGGGTTTGAGAAATAAAAATATGTTTACAAATTTGAGAGTTTCTTGAGTTTTGTAGTGTGTATATAGATGAAATTTGAGTAATGTGTTGATATACTAGTTTTGAATGTATATACAAATTTTGAAGTCAATTGAATAGTTAGATTAAAGTATATGAGGGATTTTATGGATTGAGATCTCAGAAATTAGAATTTAAGGGTTAGTGAGTGTTTCTAAGATCTTCAGTAATTTATCAATTGGATTAAAAAGAATTATTTTTGTATGGATATTAGATTCAATTTTTAAGATTTAGGTGAAATTTGAAAGCAAATAAATAGTTCAAAAAAGAGATATTAGCATTGGAAGTTAAGCATTTAGATTGGAATAGGAGGTTGTCTAATACTTGATTGAATTAACTTGTATTTCTCTTAATTAGTAAGTGCAATCAATTTCATCTTTCTTGTGCTTGTTTTTAACTAAAATATTAAGAAGTATGCAATTTTTGAGTTCATATTAATAGTTTGTTTATTAGTTGTTGAAATTTCAATTTGATATTGGATTTATTAAGAATTTTTTTATGATATAGAGTTTGATTAGGATTTGGTTTAGGATTTATCTAGGATTTAAAATTCATTAGAATTTCAATTAAGATTAAATTAGGTTTTATTTGGATTTATTTGGATTTTTTATTTTTAATATTTCTTTAGAATTTTTTTATTATTTTTTTATAAGTTTTTATTTCTAATATTTCTTTAAGTTATTGTTATTTTTTTAAAGGTTTATTTTTATATTTTT